ACCTCCCTCTGTACCCAACTCACAATGACCAGGAGTGATGGAATTTTCCTTCAGGGAGTTTGGAATCTGTTCCCTGGATGCCATCCCCTCTGCTATCACCTTGAACCTTCCCTGCCCCTGAATCACACTGGGGTTTGGCATATAGCAAGGCCTGCTGTCTGGCTCCCCTACTTTCTATTTGCCTATACCTCTGAAAACAGTCGGCACCTGCGTTACATTCTTCTCCTCCAAAAAAAAAAAAAAGAAAAGAAAAACCTTCAGTTATATACTAATTTCTACCATGTAAGCTCTGTACACTTCCAAATGGGTTCTTTTGGCTCCCAATAATTTTATAACTACCCTACATCCAAACCTACTTTCCCTACTCTTGTGTTCCCATTAATATAGATTTTACTTGGAATAACTAAGCTCCTCACAACCATGCCTCCTTTATGAAAACACTTTGCTCATTCTCTCACCAGCCTTGGTGAATTTATTCTTGCTGTTTCCTTCTTCAGCAAGCATGTGCACACAKGCACACGCACAAAAGTTTGTCATGGTTTCTAATGACTAATTTGTGTAATATCTATAATTCCATCTGTGTACATATACTCACGTGTATACACATGAATATACATCTCATATTGATTTCCAATTGCTAATAAGTCAAAACATGCGTGCACATTCATTTATGTCTACACACAGTTTTGCATTGTTTGCTAATTTTTGTTTTACATTTGTTCATGCTCCCTCCCAAACAGCATTTAAACTTCTTTAGAAAGTAGACCTTTTGTGCTTGGTAGGCACTTACTTTCTGCTAAGCAAACATCTAGAAAACCTTCAGTGAACAAGACAGGCAGAATCCCTGCTCTCCAAATTCTCATGGTCTGTTGAATTGCCAAGATTTGTTATTTTCACTTTTTTGATAGGTACATAATATGTGCTCATTCTTTAAAAATTTAGAATAAAATGGAAAGCCAAAAGAAAACATATATATCATCTATGTTCCCACCAGAATGATCAAGTCTTCCTGAAAGCTCTCACTACTCATTTCCTGGGTGCCACGGAGAAGGCCACCTTATSCCCAGGTATCACGTGACCACCCCTTACTTTCCTCCTACAAAAAGTCACCCCCTCAGACCTTCAGGAGTTCTCATAGTTACCAAGCACAATGCCAGACACGGCTTGTGAGTCCTCTCCCTGTTAGCAAAGGCAGGACTCAGATGATGTCATGAGTGAAGACCTAGGGACAATGACATTCTCACTCACTTCTCTCCTAAGGAACCCCAAGTTGCTGCACTCTGCAGTACCAGGTGAATGAATGGCTATTCACTTGTATCATGGAGGCATTCAAGCAGGTATTAGAAAATAAACCTGGGACAAGGGCCCACAATGATGCAGAGAGGCCCATGTGCTATKGAAACGAACCCCATACCACCCATCGTTATACACTACCAGGCTGTAAAAGCAGCCTTTATTCTCCTTCTTCATACAATGCACAAAGGCTAAAGGGAAGGAAGTTATGTTGCAATATTCTGAAACATAAATCTTGCTACCAAGCCAGGGACAGTATCCTGTTTTCCTTACACATGGATCTGATTCACTGGAGGCTGGGCCTATAGGACTTGTGTTCTGTTTTTCAATGGAGTTTCTGCATTATACCTGGTGGCCTGCATTTACACATCTGGACATGGGTTGTGCAAGCAGTTGTGTGTCCAGTTAACCAACCACTGTGTACAGATGTACATTGGCACAGTTTACACCCACTCAGAAGTCTTCTTTCCCAAGTTGGGACATGCAGCTTCTTTCTTTTTCTTTATTATTATTATTATTATTATTATTATTTGTTTTATGTTTAAGAAGTTAAATAAAATTAAATTTCAACTCCAATAAAAGAGGAAGAGATTTTCATGTATTCTCCTTGCTGTAGCAGTTTGCTACACCATTCCATCACCCTTAATCTCACTTTCTGCTTTGATTAGAATTTAGTAATCCCAGAGACAGTTTCCAGGGGTGTCGTCAGAGTGCTACTTGAGTCAGGGAAATGGTTGAACTGCTCAATGCTTTTTTAATTCTGGGAACCAGAGGTAGATAATGCTTCTTAGTGGCAGATGAGCAAAGGCAGAGCTGTGGCCCTGTGGCTTGCTGATGGAAGCCTTCTTAGGTGAGAACACAGGGCTTTGAGAGGAGGGAGGAGCTGTGTACCAGGGAAAAGTCCACTAGAAAGGGTGGCCCTGGGAAAGGAGTTCTCTGAAGCGCTGCTTTGGAATACACGCAAAGCTGTGGCCATTCAAAGGTTATCTTGCACGTGAACTTTTTTTTTTTTTTTTTTTTTTTTTGCCAGGGAAGACCAATTTTAGAATTTCACTTCAGCTCAAAACACACTTTCTTTTCCCATTACAGAAGCGATGTCTGCGCTTAACAGTGGAGGGCAAAGAGTAGAGGTGTCATCACTCTATGCAAATGCTCATGACGCTGCTGCGTGTTGCCACAGAGGACCTTAACCTTTGCCTGGACAGAGAAGAAGGGGCCCTGTGACATCAGAGAGGCTGCAATGGGAATTATCTAAACAGTCACTTTTTTTTTTCTGTCACTAAGAGCATACCTGACATGTTAGTACTGAGGCCCTGAGCAGCTCGATCATTTTATGTGGCTTCTTATTCCTGATATCCACCACCTCACTGTGTTTGGTCTCAGCCATCGGACCAATTTATCTTTTACACTTCAAATAGGGGATGAATTGGTCAGATCACTGAGACTTTCAAAAACAATTAAACAAACAAACAGGGTTTCTCAGCCCCAGCACGACTGTCATTTGAGATCAGAGCTCTGTGCTGTCGTGAGATTTCCTGTGCATTGTAAGATATTTAGTGCCAGCTCTCAATGCCAGTTATGCCCACTAAATACCAGTAGGACCACCTTTCCCCAGTCCTCACAATCAAACACCCCCCCMAGAAGCTGCCAAATATCTGAAGGGGGGGGGATGTTGCTTTTGTTGAGAATTATTGGCTTAAAATGATCTCATGTGAGATTAAATTAAGTAATCCTTGTGTTTGGGGCAATAAAAACAATTCTATCAGTTGTTGAAAGTTATATAGGGAAAGAAAGGAGARTCCCTGTGTAGATTCAACATCTATAGGTAGATCAATGACAGGAAGCATCCTGAAGAAATCAACGGGGAGACTCCACGTAGGCACCCCACAGCAAATATGGGAACCTAAGGCCAGGAAGAAAGTGGTCCTTTTTGAAAGKAGGGAGGCACTGAGGACCACGCCTCTGTCCCCCACCATCATCTCCAGAGACCGTGGCCTTGAACCAATATGGAACAGTGGATTGATTATTAGATAAGAGGTCTATAGAGATGGACATTTTTTAAAGCACTGTTTATTTAATGCAGCATGACTTAGAATGGGCCTGTAACCTGACAAGTGCACTGAATGAGGAATGTTCAATTTACCAGTTCTAACCGGCCAAGTCCTCACATGAACTTTCTAAGACCCAGCTGAAAAGCCTGGGAAAGTATAGAAACCACAAACCTTCAGCGGTTCCTCCCCCTGGCTGCCCTACCTGAAGCATTCCTGTGAGACCCACTTAATACTCCAGACCTGTTGCAAGATCTTCACCCTGGGCAGAGCCCCCATGGCTGACAGGCTGCCCCGGCCTCCACATCAACCAATACCCCATAACTGAAAGGAAAGATTCTGCCCTATTTTTAAAATGTATTGAGCAAAGAAGCAGCTTCATACATGTTTCTAAAGGATGGCGATCACCGGAATTCACTGTTTCCCTATTTTAATCAATGATATAGACTTGGAAGTCAGATAAATTTAGAATTTAAGTGCCATAATTATTTGTCAACTGTGTGACTCTGGGAAAATTGTTTAACCTCTCTGAGCCTCCATGTCTGCATATGTAAAATGGGAACAATACTAATAGTACCTAAACAGCAGGTGGTTTTGAGGAATGTGTAAGATGACAGGAAARGGTTCCAACACGTTGCCCACTGTTGTCATTACGATTATGGTTGTCAACGTTACTATATTCATCCTTCACTCATTATACAAAAAAACATTTATTCAGCAACTTCCATGAGCTGAGTGGTAGGAAAAACTCAATTAAAATTATAATATTGGCTTTCTTAAAGACTCGGAATTTTAATCAAATGACATTGAAAACAACCAATAAAGGTCTTCACTGGTGGGTTATGGAGACTTTGAATAGAGTCAGCACATAGTAGGTTCTCAAAAAAYATTAGCTCATGATGATAGCATTGGTAATTCTGATGTTGAAAATTAGGTGATTTTGCAATCTTGATTTAATTTACTTGTAAGAGTACTCACTAAAAGTCCCTACAAGAAATGATTTATTTTCAAGCAAATGAATGCTGATCTTGCAAGAAAGCACGTCTATTCTCTAAACAACATGTTCATCGGGGAAGGGTAACATTCTTTATTATAGCATATAATAAGCATCCAGAGTCTGGGAGGTAATTCTCACTATTGAAAGGAAAATGGATTTTGACTAATTTGTAAATATAGATTAGATCTGTTGAGTTTATCAATTTCCACCTACAAAGAAATTAGTGGTATGTACCAAGAACATAAGAGTAATAGTCAACACTGCTCACCTATTTGATAAAAAAGGTAGATTTCTAAACCCTCAGTTTAAAATTCTCCTTCTTATAATATTAATTTATATTAGTCACCATTTACGGCTAAGATTCTCTCCATGGGAAATTGGAATAAACAGGTTTAGACTTTTGTTCTTGTCATCAATTCTTTCACAACCCCGTGTATTTCAACACAATTTAATGCAGTCTGTTGTCAGTTCTCAGCCCCTTAATTATATAAAAAAAAACTGTTTGTTTTCCAAAATATTGTTTCACCATCAAAAAGAAAGTATGACAAAAACTCTTTTGATGACCATACAGTAAGAACCCAAGATGTTTTCAGGCCTATCCCATGTCAGACTGGCCCAAGCCAAGGTCAAGGAGAAATGAACTTTCCAAAGGAGGTTCTTACCTCAAATATGTTTGCAGGCTCATTGCTRTACTGGTTGGATATTATTTCTGATTGGTCGCTGCACCACTTGAGTCCACCCAGAAAGCTGTCTGTGTCCAAGTCGTTCACATCTAGTTCAGAAAGATCAAGCTCAGGAAGATCTGGGCAAAGAGGCTGGTCTTCACCAACCAGAGCAGCACACTGCAGGAGGCAAAAAAGAAAAAAAAAAAAAAAGCTTTCATTAACTGCAGGAATGTATTAAACCACAATAGCATGTGATAGGAATTAAGCCTGGTTAATTCAACGACACCACCAAAGCTGGCCTCTGAGGCTTTAATCACCAGGGAAAACACCCTAAATTCTTTTCCCACTTGGCTCCCAAAGGATACTTTGCCTGATTTATCCCATGCAAAATTCCATCTCTAAATCCAAGATAAGTACTTCATGAAGTCCTCTCTGAGTCTTCCAGTGAGAAAGCCGCGGCATGTTTGTACCGCTTGGAGAGTTAGCCCTTATCACATCAGACTGTCTTGTGCTTAACTATAYGTAAAATCTTACTCTATCCTGAGAGTATAATCTCTTAGAGAAGAACACAAGCTTGATTTTACTTGGAACTATCATGCTTACTGGACTTTCCCTAAACAACTGGCACGTGAAAAACAGAAGACAGGAACTACATGAGGAGAACTTTCTCCACTTAGACTCTTTTTAAACATGTCATCCTTATCCTTCATTCAGCAACTAATGATGCAAGGCCTTTGACTCATCTGTGGTCCTCTTGAATTATTTCTTAAATCATTTACTCTCACTGACTTTTTATGAGTTACTGGACGTCATCCTTAACAGGTCAAAGCAGGTTCCTTGAGATGAAGATCATATTTTTTTCTATGCAGCCTTTATATCTCACTCTGAGTTACTTATAAGACATGGCGTGTGTGTGTGTATGTGTGTGTGTGTGTGTGTGTGTGTGTGTGTGTTTGGGATCACCTGGCACCTGGAGAAGAGGAGTCACAATAACAACACACCACAATTATATTTTGTTCATTATTCAGGTGTATCTCAACTATGTTCCAAATACATTCAAAATAGCTATTTTTGTTCAGAGTTATAAAATTATTTCAATATATTGAAAGGTTTAAAATATCCTCTACTGCAGCTGGGCTGCTTGTCCCCAAGGCCATTTTAGATTGCCATATTCTTTTTCTTCCTTGCGTGTAGCAGATATCACTTAACGGCCCCACCCTRGTGCTTTCCAAGGAAAGTGGACCCCATTACCAATGAAGTGGACTCCTAGAACTGAATCAGCTMACTGATGGCTGATTCCAGGCTGCATACCATAAAGAACCCTGCAGAAACTCCTACAGCYAGGGTCTGGGGATGCCAGAGTCATAGGGACATTGTCTACCTGTGCGCCAAGCTGTCTGAACCCAGGCCTCCCACTCAGAAGCAGGACCCTCCTGCCTCCACCTTACGAGGTCAGGAGAGATGCTGTCCAGTTGTTCACATCCACGCAGTCCTTGGGCATGAAGTTGCAGATATCCCTTGACATTTAGATTTTGAATAAGTTTTATGCAGATTTCTTTTTCCTCAAGCACCCCTGTCATCCCTGGCAGGCTGCATTACACGGATCATATGCAGCAGTGTGATGATAAGCCACACACTGAGAAGTAGGGCCTGGGTAATGGAGTGGGCAGTTAGTAAGAGAAGAATGGGAGGAGTCTGCAAATCACTGCAGTTCTGCCCTAAGGCCACCAGCCCCGTGAGGTCCCCAGCTGCAGGCAGAAGGTAATGGAAGGAAAGGGCTGTCCKCTCTATCTAAACTCCTTCCTTATCATTTTATTGGTCTTTCCTTTTTATTATATGAACCCAAAGTTACAGATCAGTCTATTCAACTAGGTTGAAAGCAATGGAAGCTGGACAGGAGAGAAGATCTCGTCCCAGTCCAATGTTCTTGTTTTGTTACGGGTGTTATGCTCCCCGGGCACATTCTGGCCCACCCCTTRCAGTCCAAGCACACACACTCAGCGTCAACTCTGCTTTGACACCATCCATTCAGAGGCAAGGGGAGAACTTTTCCCACAGTGCAAAAATACTAAGCTTTCACWGGGGGATAGTCCTTTAACATAATCAAGCATAAACAGCATCAACAAATAAAAATGTTGGCTGTCTACCTCTGCCTTAAGTTCCGTTGTAGAGCTCAGGAACCATGTTTTAGGAATACTGACGGGTCATACCAATGGACTGGTGAACAATATCTAACTGCCCTCTCCAGGCACACCCTGTACAAAACCCTAGAACTTTCCAGAAATGTGTAAGTCCCTTTTGAAAACCATTGACTAGACCAGGTCAGTTTGTTGTGTGTTACTGTCTTGTACACCTCCTTCTCTCTCTCCTCCAGCTCTCCCTCTCCTATTATGCTTTTACATTATGGTTCCAAAAAGTGCCTGTGCTCTTGCCAATGTTGACATGCTAATAAGATCAGTGCTTCTGAATGTGGCATTATTCTGCTAATCTAAAACACATTAGTCGTAGCAAGTGTCCCTGTTATTAATTTATATTTGGCCTTTGGATGGTGGCAGACACAGTCCGAGCCCTGTAACTGTCCTCATCTGACACGCTGATATTTATGACTTCCCCATACATCTGTAACAGGTGTGCTCGACTGCACTCACACAGCCTCGTTCTAGTGCCTCCTTGCAACGATGACAGCTATGTCACAACTGTAGCCTTAATTTTATAATAAGATTTAAGAGGATAAAGCAGTCACTAAACACAAAAGGCTAATTATTGTACRTTATTTCACCCCAACAGACTTTTCTCTTAGTTAAGAAGGAGACAATAAATTAGCTTAACTGCACTGATGATAATGAATCATTATAATTAAGTATAATTCTCCATTAACCTTTTGGAGGTTTTGATGGTAAATTTTAAAGAGAGAGAGAAGAAAAAGTGGACTCAGCCACATTAATTATATTAATGAAAAAAAAAAAAGAATCTTAACTTCTTTAAAAAAAATYAGTCAAGACAAGGGAAGGGGGTGGCGAGGAGGGCCATAAAGAATGACAGTCTTGGTGGAGTATATGTCATGTGAATTGTCTCTATCAATCTTGGTAACCTTATTGTACATCACCTTCATTAAACTGTGAAACACGGGGGACTCCGAGCACCTCCAGTGATATGGGCCTTTATTAACCAGTGTGCTGTCCTGTCATTATGTGCAAAAGGGCATAAGACGTTTTAGGATGACAGCAAACATTAATGATTCAAAAAATGAAAGCTGCCTACGCTACCTGCTGCTCTAATATTTGAAACTGGCAGAGGTGATTCCCAGAGCGGCTGTCTCGAAGGCAGGGCTTCTAGCAGCTGCTGCCTACAGTGCAACAGCAACTGGCCAGCCACAGCGGACCTGCGACTCAATCCACGGCTGGACAAGGAGCCCAAGACCTGTTCCCCTTCAGAAAAGAAAACGTAAAAAGGCCACCATTCTGAAAGGCCTGGATACTTATTGGAAAACGACTGCAGGAATTCCGGTAGTTAACATTAACCTTCCTTATTTCCATACGAGCTAGTTCCTCAATCAAGTAGCAGCATCAGGAATTATGCATGATGGAAAAACGAAACTACAGCAGCAGAGACCCACCGTGCCAGCCAGACAACCACCCACAGGACACTCCGGGCTACTCAAACAATTAGGACTTTGAAGCCACTTAGAACCCTGACTCTTAATCACTACAGGACATATGAATTCTCCATATCTATCCTGCCTTACCGAGAAATCACAACAAGATAAGAAGGATTACAACCCACAAAATACAATCCACCAAGGCAAGAAGGGCAGCCAGAGCCAACGTTTGCAAACCCAGCAAGGAGTTAAGAATCCAGGGCATGCCTCGCTAGATAGGAAAAATGCATTCGCAGCCGGCCTCGGCCAAATTATTTTCACTTTAGATGTGTATCGCCAGCCACACCACATGCACATCTTATTTAATCAAATCACGTGTGGCACTTGATCCTCCCCCTTACCCTACGTGCCCCCAGCTACCCGGAGGAAGCACTCGAAGTCCTTTGCCAGGTTCATTGTTAGCAGCTCGGATCCTCCATGCAATTCAATTCGGGTCCATCTCAGCAGAGTCCTCAGAAAGTTTCGCTTGTTTCCCAAGTTGCCCAAACTTTCCGGGAACATTCCATTGTGCTGAATGCAAACACACCGAGGTCCTCCGTCCCCCAGCTAGACTCCAGAGATTACGAGGAAACCGCTTGCATTTTTTTTTCCCCCGTATGAATTGTAGCCAGCACAGACTGTGGAATTGATGTATTGCCGTCTATTTTTACACAAGCAGTGAGCAGCTCCACACACGGTCCTGCATAAACTCTATTCTCTCTCCGGCTTCAGGCAGCTCTCCGTGGTACAGGGAGATTTAACCATTGGCTTCCCTGCCACCGGCTCAAACAGGAAACCTTGCACTATAAGGCTTTGTTTTTTTTCCCTGACCAAATCTTTCAACTACACATAGGAGTTTTAAAGGAAGCAGCAGCAKCATTTTATATTTTGYGGGAAAAGCAATCTAAGACAGTCCAGCAGGAATGTTTAGGATTTTGTAAGTTCTCTGTCTGATGAACAGAGAAAGGAAAAAAAAAATCCGGACTAGAATCAAAACGGTCTATATTTGAATGCATCCATTTTAATATTTTTATCTTCATTTTCTTATAAATAGAAATGGCATTTTTCCAACCAGGCCACTAAACACCACTGGAAAGACTTCAGCTTCTGATTCATATCAATATCTTAGAGCATAAATATTGCATATGAGTAGAAACAGAGCCAAAGGCACATGGAAAGAGTTTCTAACTGCAACAGATACTGATGACAGCAGCTGAGCTTTGATTTGCTCAAGGCATCTCAGAGCCACCTTAAAATAGCAAACTTATTGGAGTTAAGATAAGATTGAGATTCCCTTCCAAAAGCTCCCGCCCGCTCCGCTCCGGCTACTTTTCTGCCTCCTCTCCTCGCCCAAGCCCATCCCCCCCCTTACAGGGATAATTGCATCTGAGGGAAGCTGCCGTCCTGGCTGCAATGCCTGCGGAGCCCAGCCCCAGCTCACCTCGATGTCACTCCATACAGAGTCCTGGCTGCACATGTCCCACGCCATCCAGCTCCTGAATGACGCCAGTCAAGCTTTTTCAACTCCAATCCACAGTGACACCGAGCACACACTCATGCAGGCAACCAGCCCCTTACTGAGAGTGAACTGAAGGCACCTGTCTTACTACAGTCCCCAGTCACATGACAAAGCTATTAAAAAGTAGGCTGGGCTGTCACTCACCCAGCCTCCCTTCTCCTGTGCAGCTTGCTGCTCAAACTCCTGACGTCACTCAAAGGCAGCCCTCTGCCTCAGTGAAGTAACGCTTTAAAAAAAAAAGAAAGAAAAAGAAAAAGAAGAAAGAAAGAAAGAAAAGAAACACTTGGACTTTTGGAGGTTTCAAGCATCATGCTGTGATTAAAGCCAGCTTTGAATGCCACAGACTCTAAACGGAGCCCTGGCCATATAATAACTAAAATCCCCTGCAATCTTTTTTTAATTTATTTTTCCTCCAAAATGAGCAAGGGGCAAAGCTCCCTGTTTCACGACAGAACAACTATATTCTTAACTAGTATGTGTATTCTCATAGGACCGTAAGCTCTCCAAGTGGACCCAAACTCAGTTTGGGACTAAAGCAAGAGCTTATCACATGATGCATTTTTATGAGACATTTTCTAATTGGGGGAGTGTTTGAAAGCAGCAAATGAGGCATTTTTTTTTTGCTTGTTTAATCAACAAAACAGTCTGTATTTGTTAAGGTATAAACAAACTCCTCTCCCCAGAAGTCGGTTGTCCCCGTGTGGGTAGGGAACACCAGCTCTGGAATTGTTACTGCAGTTTGCTCTGCTCCATATAAGGAGAGCAAGCAACAAAACCTCATCCTTTCAGCTTCCTTCTCATTATTTCCATTTCTTTCATAGGCTCCCAGAAAACAAATGTTAGTAAATACAGTCGCGGCTGCTGTGCCCAGAACAGCTCCGGCTTTCAGCTGCCTTCTTCCATACATGTAGCCTTTCCTCCCTGACTGCCTTAGGGTGCCTTTTTGAATAAACATTGGATTCCAACCCTYGTGCCCTGGGTCGTGCAGTTTGCGTGTGAAATCAAAAATGTCCATGGAGTGAAGGGAAAATATCCACATGCCATTAGCAGAAATAWTCACTTCTTGAGCTTCACTGTTTTATTATTTCTCAGCTCGTACCTTGAGACAATGAGGGCTAATGCAGGTGCTACTGTTTTATGATGACACTACATATTGAATACATAACAAACCCAAGGTACTAGAGACAGTGGAAAAATACTTCCCATAACATTACAGTGGTCGGACTTAACCCTTCTGAGTTCCAGAGGGATGTACACAGGTATGTATCTTTGGGAAGACAGGTTTCATGGAACTCCAAACCCAACAGACTTTTAAAATTCAGCTTCATTCTTTTACCAGACAATAATTTGTCTGAAAATAAAGTTCTCAGGTATCTAAAAATAATTTTGAAAGCCCTATTAATTTAAATTCCTGCTCTACTGAAGTTAATTTAATGTTTTCTTTATTGTATATCTCCTTATGAAGAAAAGAAAGTGGTGGTTTTTCTCTAACACATACTTTAAATATTAAGTTGCTCAAGTTGTAAAGTGAAAGAAAGAAATACAATAAAAAACAAACAAGATAAAAAGCCACCAGAATGCTGTTTCTTTCATACCACTTATATTAAAGACTTCTCTCCTCTGATATCTGCAACAAGTTGCTAGTAAATTTCTGAATAATGTGATTAAATTGACAAGTTTGTCATTACTGGACATAAAAAGATGGCCAACAGCTTTGACATTTTAAGTGAGCTGAATATATTTCCCTGGCACATTTTCCTTTATACTTAGCAGAAAGTTGCTGTAGTTTTAATTTTCCATGTTAAAAAAAAATTAAAAAGGAATATACAACTTTGAGAATGTTTTCATGAAGGCAAATAATGGCATTACTTTGTGTTCCCCACCCCACCTCCCCCAAAATACTTATTTTCCTCCCAATTATATTCTTACTTAATGTAAAACTTCAGTAAATTATTAAAATTCAGGACAAAGGTCATTGGCTCTACCCTCAACACAGTCAACTGTGAAATGATATTGGTCATTTGGCCAAGAGAAGTCGATGTTTCTTAACTATTATCAAATGATCCCTGCGTCGTGAGAGTCACTGACGATTTTCTCTGTCCCCATCCAAAGATGGGCAACCACCATGCTTTTTAAAAAAATCCCATTCACACCTTTTAGAGACGTTCCTTTACCCTAGAGCATGTTGCATTATTGTTTTTGATATTTTAACCTTCACACATTGTGTAGCTTCGGGATCCATGCTACTTTTTTTTCTGCCACCTAATTCCACTTCTTAAAATGCTCAGATCAACATAGCCACCCAGATGACAAGTGGTTTCATATATGCTGTATTTTTTAGGAGTCAAAACATGTCAAGGTCTCACAAACTCCAGCATATTGCCTTCCCCCCCACACCTTCCATCTCTACTAGTATAAAAATCCAAATTTAAACCTATTCGTAGGACAAGTTAGAGTACCTGCTACTGTTTTTTTTTTTTTTAAGTCTCAAAACTATAACTCAAAGGGATATTTTAAAGTTCTCATAATTTGGTTAATTAACTCTTCAGATTAAAAATTCTCTTCTGTCCAGTTTTTTTTTTYTTTCTTTCATCAGGAGAACTTAAAATTGTTAGTTGCTCACCAACCTTGGTCTTTTCTGGCTCCCCAGGCGGTTTCTATATTTAATTCTCTCTCTGCCTTGACGGCTGCTCTTCCCCTCTCCCTGCAGCCTATCTTCCACCCCTTCTACAACTCTGCCTCCAAGGTTTCCAARTGTTTGATTCAGTCAACGACGGTCTATGGAAGCCTGACTGTGTGCCCAGCAATCCATCACAAGGACTGCCGAGAAGGGGTACGGCAGGGACACAAGGGACCTTGCAATTTTAGGGGGATGACAGAGCTTAAACGTGGAGAAAAAAAAATTGGCATGAAAAAGCAGTATCATTTTCTTCAATATCCAGATTTCTTTTTCTACTCTTGAAAGCACRCTCTATTTAGGTACAAGGTCCTTTCACTAACCACAACGACTCTGCTCCAAAACAACCCCATTTGCTCCCAACAATAGGAAGAGGTATTTATTAACATCTGCTGGATGCCTATAATATCGTATATCTACACAGGGCCTGGATCCCACCCCCCCATGGAATCCGCCACTCAATAGTCCTGTTAATGTATTCCAAAGTCCCCACATTGGTGGAGGCGGGAGAATCTGTCTTTTGAGTTGATAGGGGGATGGTGGGGGGAGAGAGAAAGAATAATTCAATTCAATAATTCGTAAGAACAATTAAATTCTATAACAAAAATATTTGAAGAAGTGTTTGAAATTTGGGTTTCTTTCCCCACTCCTGCCCCCAAATTACAAGCTTTGTCCATCATCCATATTTCAGACAACTTCCCATTTCTTTTTTATTTTGTAATTATTTTTTATTTGTAGTTGGATATAATACCTTTATTTTATTTATTTTTATGTGGTGCTGGGGATCGAACCAGGGCCTTGTACATGCTAGGCGATCACTCTATCATTAAGCCACAACCCCAGGCCAACAGCTTCCCATTTCTAAAAAATAAATACAATCAAATTGGAACACTCAAACTCATACCATAGACTATAGCAAAAACACGTGGTGTCAACGTTGTATCCAGGTAAGCACAAAAGGAAACTCAGAAGTAAATACTATTAGTATAAACATCTCTTTGATTTGTTCTTGTAGACTTACAATGAGAGGAATAAATTTAAGGTGGAACATTTCAAGGAAGAAAGGGAAAGAGGAAGACAGAGCCAAACTTGCACAGGCTAGTACTGAGATCGTCACTTCAAATTCTACATGTCCATCAAGGTAGTCCTAAAACTTCCCAGGAAAGGTCATCTGTGCACCCATTTTTACAACTAAGAAAAATCAGGCAGGTAAGAGTGAAAAGCAGTTGAACAGAGTGAGCAGAACCCTCCCCAAATCTAAGGCACATCAAGGACCTCTGAGATCACTTGGTATCTAAGGAAGTGTCTGGAAAGAGGTATCCCTGAGAATTCTGCATGCCTGGAACATTCTCCCAGAAAGAAAAGAGACCTGCCCAGAATTGCTAATATTTTTAAAGTTAATTATTGCTTATGGCTATTCAATTGCTGGCTCTTAGTTCCTAGAGGGAACCATTGATCCTTGTATCCCAAGTCCATTT